GGGGCAAGCTCCCCGCGGCGGCCCGGGCCTCTATGGTGACCTGGGTCACTGAGTACCGGGCCCCGTCCTCCTGCTCACCCTGGAGTGGGCAGGGGGAGGGCGGCAGTGACCAGTGAGTCCTTGCAGGGCGAGTCCTGCACCCTGGGGCTCAGGGAGGGGCCTGGAGACCGGGCCAGGGCACCCACCTTGACCAGCAAGAGGAAGGTCCTGGGCCTGGGGACGCTCCTGGCCATGGTGAGGTTGCCCGAGTCGGCGTTGAGGACAAAAGTGCCATCCTCGTTTCCTGGGGGGATGCAGGCGGGTTGGGCCGGCCCCCTCCCGCGGCCGGCGGTCCAGGGTCCCAGTTGGCTCTGCCCACGTGGGGGTGGGTCTGGGTCGGGTGCTTAGTGGAGAGACGCTGGGGCCTGGCTCACTCACCCCTCAGGATGCTGTAGATGATCCGCTGGTTGATGCCCCGATCCCCGTCCACGGCATAGATGGGCCCAGGTCGCAGGGTGAGAGGGGCTGGCTGTGGGGACGGGCGGGAGGAGAGTCCCTGGGCTGGTGTGAAGGCTCCAGCTCACCCCCTCCCCTCCCCTCCCAGTGCCTGGAACACCCCGCCCTTCCACGCCCGGGAGGGGCCTGTGGTCCAAAGGATGACCCACGACACCCTCATGGACCCGTTGGTAATGAGTCATCTTCCCAAAGACATGGGATTGGCCTGAGCGATGGGTGTCTCAGAAGGTGGCACCCCTGGGGACGGGCAGCTCGAGGGGAGGTCCTGGACCCCCTCCGGTGCCTCTGTGCACCCCTTGGGGCAGGAGCGGGGACAGGCAGCCCCTCAGGGCCCACCAGCCCCCCCCTGATTGGGTCCGGCTCTGCCCCAGGACAGCTGGGCCTGTCCACTTCATGCTCATTTTCAGAGGCGCTGGCTCACCACTCCCGGGCAGAGGGTTTACAAAACAATGCTCACAGCTGTTTAAAAATCACGACTCAATTTGGCCCCAAATTGACCCGCGCCCCCCCTGCCCCTCCTCCAGTACCAGTCTGTGGCCTGTGGGGATGGCCCCGTGGTACTGGGCTTGGACGCAGATGAGAAGGTCTGAGTAGAGGCAGGGCAGGAACCGGGGCGGCCGCCGGTCCACGGGCTGCACCTCCAGGACCAAGGAGGCCGTGGCACTGTGGCTGGGCACGGCGCCCTCCTCCGGGGTGTCCTGCGGCCCGAGCCCCACAGTCAGCCTGGAGCCGGGCTGGGGCGGTCGGTGGGGCCAGGAG